GGCGGAGGGGGCTATGGGGATGGGGACATATGGGGTGACACGTGACACGCGTGGGACACGTATGTGACACGTGTGATGTAGTAGGCATGTGATGTATACGTGACACGTGTATGGTGTGCACAGTGCACGTATGTGGGGCATATATGGCTTATGAGACACGTAGCACGTATGTAACATACGACATATATGTGATATGTGAGACATACGACATGTAGGTCATATATACGACATATATGATCCATATGTGATATATGTAACCCATATATGACTCTCATGTGATATATGTGGCATATATATGACACGTATGTGATATATGTGACACGCATGCGATACACATGACCTGTGTGACGTGTCATGTATGACACATCTATGACATGCATTTGGTATATGTGAGCCATATGTGACGTGTGGCACCTATACGTCCCCTATACGACTTGCATGTGTGACGCACGATGCACGCGTGTGACACGTTTATGATCTGCATATGTCACGTGTGTGACACGGTTGCGATGCCCCCGTCACGTGGGTGACATACGCGCCCCATACGCGCCCCATACGCGCCCCATACGCGCCCCATACGCGCCCCATACGCGCTCCATACGTGCAGGAAGGCCCAGGAGAGCCAGAAGGAGATGAAGCTGCTGCTGGACATGTACAAGTCGGCGCCCAAGGAGCAGCGGGACAAGGTGACGCTCATGGCCGCCGAGCGCAAGAGCAAGGCCGAGGTGAGCCGCACACGTATGGGACACGTATGGGATGTATGGGACATGTATGGGACATGTGGGACATGTATGTGACGTATGGGACACATGGGATGTACATGGGACATGTGGGACACGTGTGACGTTCATGGCCGCCGAGCGCAAGAGCAAGGCCGAGGTGAGCAGGACACGTATGGGACACGTATGGGGCACGTATGGGACATATAGGATGTGTATGTGACGTATGGGACACATGGGATGTACATGGGACATGTGGGACACGTGTGACGCTCATGGCCGCCGAGCGCAAGAGCAAGGCCGAAGTGAGCAAGACATGTATGGGACACGTATGGGACACGTATGGGACATATAGGATGTGTATGTGACATATGGGACACGTATGGGACATGTGGGACACATGGGATGTACGTGGGACACGTGGGACACGTGTGACGCTCAGGACCGCCGAGCGCCAGAGCAGGGCCGAGGTGAGCAGGACACGTATGGGACACGTATAGGACACATATGGGGCGCACATGGGACACATATGTGACGTTTGGGACACGTGTGACACGTACGGGACACGTATGGGCCACGGGGGACGGGATTATCCCGTGTTTCCCGTAGGTGGAGGAGCTCCGGTGCCGCGTGCGGGAGCGCCGGGATCTCCCATGTGCATCCCGTGTTCTGTCCCATGTTATCCCACGTCATCCGTGATGATCCCATGTTCCATCCTGTGTTATTTCCATGTTATTCCCATGTATTCCCGTGTATTTTCCATAGGTGGAGGAGCTCCGCGCACGGCTGCGGGAGCTGGAGGAGCGGGAGCGCCGGGACGGGCGCCGCGTCCCCACATTCCCATGACGTTCCCGTGACGTTCCCATGACTTTCCCATGTTATTCCCATGACATTCCCATGTTATCCCGGGTTATTCCCGCAGGTGGAGGAGCTCCGCGCACGGCTGCGGGAGCTGGAGGAGCGGGAGCGCCGGGACGGGTGCCGCGTCCCCACGTTCCCATGACGTTCCCATGACGTTCCCATGATGTTCCCATGGCGATCCCGTGTTATTCCCATGATTTTCCATGTATTTTCCATAGGTGGAGGAGCTCCGTGTCCGGCTGCGGGAGCTGGAGGAGCGGGAGCGCCGGGACGGGCGCCGCGGCGCCGACGACGACGCCCTGCGGCGCCTGCGCGCGGCCGAGGAGCAGATCGAGCAGCTGCAGCGCAAGCTGGCGGCCACCAAGCAGGTGGGCGGGGCCTCCGAGCAGGGGGCGGGGCCTCCCCCAAGGGGGCGGGGCCGGGGGCGGGGCCTCGGCCGGGGGGCGGGGCCGCCGCGGTCGCGTCTTGGTCTTGGGTCTTGTCCACGGTGGTCTCGTGGACGAGGTTGTGGATGACGCCGTGGATGGGGTTGTGGATCGTGTTACTGGTGACGTCACTGATGACGTCATCGCTGACATCATCAGGAGGAGGAGCAGGCGGAGCCGCGGTCGCGGATGGGCGTGGTCGCATCTTGGTCTTGGGTCTTGTCCATGGTGGTCTCGTGGATGAGGTTGTGGATGACGCCATGGATGGGGTTGTGGATGATGTTATTGGTGACGTCACTGATGACGTCATCGCTGATGTCATCAGGAGGAGGCGGGGCCGTGGTCATTGATGGGCGTGGTCGCGTCTTGGTGTTGGCTCTTGTCCACGGTGGTCTCATAGACGGGGCTGTGGACGACGTCATGGATGGGCTCATGGATGCAGATGGGGTTATGGGTGATGACGTCATCGGTGATGTCATCACTGACATCACCAGGAGGTGATGGACATGGTCATGGTCGGGGATGGACATGGTCAGGTCCTGGTGTTGGGTCTTGTCCGTGGTGGTCTCATGGACGGGGATGTGGACGACGTCATGGATGGGGTCATGGATGCAGATGGGGTTATGGGTGATGATGTCATCGGTGACGTCATCACTGATCACGGGTGACGTCACCAGTGATATCACCAGGAGGAGCAGGCGCTGCCGTCGGAGGTGGACGTGGCGGGCGCCATCACGGGTGGCGTCCTCCATGATCTCCTGGATGCCGTTGGGGGCGATGCGATGGATGTGGGTGGTGTTATGGATGACGACGGTGATGACGTCACTGATGACGTCACCGCTGACATCATAGAGGAGGAGGAGGCTCCCTGGTTGGAGGTGGACGTGGCGGGCGCCATCACGGGTGGCGTCCTCCATGATCTCCTGGATGCCGTTGGGGGCGATGCGATGGATGTGGGTGGTGTTACGGATGACGTTCTGGATGATGACGTCACCGATGACGTCACCAGGAGGAGGAGGCGCTGCTGTCGGAGATGGACGTGACGGGCCAGGCCTTCGAGGACATGCAGGAGCAGAACCTGCGGCTGCTGCAGCAGCTGCGCGAGAAGGACGACGCCAACTTCAAGCTCATGTCGGAGCGCATCAAGGCCAACCAGATCCACAAGCTGCTGCGCGACGAGAAGGACGAGCTGGCCGAGCAGGTCCTGGCCCTCAAGGCGCAGGTAGGGGACGCCCTGGGGACGTGGGGGACACCTTGGGGACGTGGGGGACAGCGGGACGTTGAGGAGCACTGAGGAACGTTGAGGGACGTTGGGGAACTTTGGGTGGCGTTGAGGAACGTTGAGGAACATTGAGGAACGTGGAGGAACATTGAGGAATGTTGGGACGTTGAGGAATGTTGGGACATTGAGGGACATTGAGGACATTGGGGACATTGGGACGTTGAGGAGCATTGAGGAACGTTGAGGGACATGGAGGAACATTGGGTGACATTGAGGAACACTGAGGAACTTGGAGGAGCTTTGGGACATTGAGGGACATTGGGACATTGAGGAACGTTGAGGGGCATTGAGGAACGTTGGGCGACATTGAGGAACGTTGAGGAACGTGGAGGAACATTGAGGAACGTTGGGACATTGAGGGACCTTGGGGACATCGAGGACATCGGGACGTTGATGAACATTGAGGAACGTTGAGGGACGTGGAGGAACATTGGGTGACATTGAGGAACACTGAGGAACTTGGAGGAGCTTTGGGACATTGGGGACATTGGGACGTTGAGGAACATTGAGGAACGTGGAGGAACGTTGAGGAACATTGAGGATCGTGGAGGAACTTTGGGACATTGGGGACATTGGGACGTTGAGGTATGTCGAGGGACATTGAGGAACATTGGGTGACATTGAGGAACGTTGGGACATTGAGGAACATTGAGGAACGTGGAGGAACATTGAGGAACGTTGGGACATTGAGGGACATTGAGGGACATTGGGGGACATTGGGGGACATTGAGGGACACAGAGAGACCAGGGTGACAGAAGGCCCCAAAACAGCAGCCAATGGCCCCAAGTGCCACCCAAGTGTCCCCAAATGCCCCCAACGCCCCCAATGTCCCCAATGTCCCCAATGTCCCCGTGTGACCCCAATGTCCCCGGTGTCCCCGTGTCCCCAGGTGGACGCGCAGCTGCTGCTGGTGCAGAAGCTGGAGGAGAAGGAGCGGCTGCTGCAGGGCAGCCTGGGCGCCGTGGAGAAGGAGCTGGCGCTGCGGGCCCAGGCGCTCGAGCTCAACAAGAGGAAGGTGCGCGGGGAGGGGCCCCGGCGTCCGGGAAAGGGCCCTGGTGTCCGGGAAAGGGCCCCGGCGTCTGGGAGGGCCCCGGTGTCCGGGAAAGGGCCCCAGTGTCCGGGAAAGGGGCCCTGGCGTCCGGGAGGCTCTTGGGGATCTGGGAAGCGTCCCGGGCATCCGGGAGGGGCCCAGGCGTCTGGGCGGCCGTGGGGCCCCGGTGTCCGGGCGGCCCTGACCATGGGTCCCGGTGTCCGGGCGGTCGCGGGCCCTGGTGTCCGGGCGGTCGCGGCTATGGGCCTCGGTGTCCGGGCGGATGCGGGCCCTGGTGTCCAGGCGGTCGCGGGCCTCGGTGTCCGGGAGGTCGCGGCTATGGGCCCCGGTGTCCGGGCGGTCGGGGACCCCGGTGTCCGGGCGGTCGCGGCTATGGGCCCCGGTGTCCGGGCGGTCGCGGCTATGGGGCCCTGGTGTCCGGGTGGCCGCGGGCCCCGGCGTCCGGGCGGTCCCAACCATGGGCCCCGGCGTGCGGGCGGTCGCGGCTATGGGGCCCTGGTGTCCGGGCGGTCACGGCTATGGGCCCCGGCGTCCGGGCGGTCCCAACCATGGGCCCCGGCGTCCGGGCGGTCCCAACCATGGGCCCAGGCGTGCGGGCGCCCGCAGGCGGTGGAGGCGGCGCAGCTGGCCGAGGACCTGCGCGCGCAGGGCGAGCACGTGCAGGGCCGGCTGCGGGAGCTGCAGGCCGTGGCCGCCGAGAACCGC